TCCGATCTTAAACTCACGCCAGAGGCGTGTGCGTGCGTGCCCAAGATCCCGAGAGGAGAATGGAGGAGAAGGGATTGCAATGTGGCCATCCTCCCTAGGAGGGTGATTTCTCGCTTTCTGTCTCTCTGTCTCTCTGTCTGTCTGGCAAGCGCACGCACCCTATAGCAAAAAACTCTTAAAAAAAAAAAAAGAAACACACCAGGTGCATGTGCGTCAGTGCTAAAAACTCTGAGAGGAGAAAGGAGAAGGGATTGCAGCATGGCCATTCTCCCTGGAGGAGTGATTTCTCACTTTCTGTTTCTTTCTCTCTTTCTCTGTCTCACAGGCAAGCACATGAGACCTATAGCAAAAAATCTCTCTAAAAAAAAAGAATTAAAATAAGTACCAAGACACTGTTTGCCTATAAGGAATACTCCTATAAAGATAAGTTTCCATCAGTCAGTGAAAGGCAACATGAGAAGGGAGAATCACCCAGCTGGGCCAGAATTCTAACCAATACAGGAATCCCAGTGTCCTCCAGCCTCAGATGTCACCGTACCAGAGAACCTAGAGCTTGGAAAAGCACCCAGATACACTGCACAGGAATTCCCTGGGGCCTTCTGCCATTGTGCCATTCTTGTAGTCTATAGTGACACAGAACATGTATCGAGAATTTCAAAAAGTTTGCGGAACATTGGGCAGATGTGTGTGTGTTCCCCAAATCCCAACAAGATGGAGAAATGGGGAGAGGATTACAGAGTAACCATGGCCCACTGGAGGGTGGGGTGCTTTGTCACTCCCTCTTTCTTTTTTTTCCTCTTCAGTGAGTACACACACCCTCTAGCAATTAAAATAAAAAAGTCCATGGAGGGACCACTGGAGAGTGTAACGGTTATGTCACTGGACTCCCACATAGTTGACCACAGTTCAAGTCCCAAACCTGGTGACTTAAAACTCTCGCTGGACACATGTGCTTGTGTGCGCAAAATCCCAGGAGGAGACTGGTGGAGAAAGGATTGTGGTGTGAACGTGCCCTCAGGGGGTGACTTCTTGCCTTCTGTCTCTGGTGAGCACATGAGCCCTTTAGTTAAAAAAAAAAGAAAAAAAAAAACTCTCTAATAAAACAAACAAAAAAGTACACGGAAAAGTGGAATTAAAACACAAGCTTATTTTGATCCAAGAAAGTTTTCAAGTTCTTGGCCAGCATACCTAGATCCTGTTTGAAAGAGCCAGGTGCACCTGTGGTCCTAGTTACTACTCAGGAGACTGAGGCAAGAAGATTGTGATGCGGCAAGACCTTGCATTAAAAAGAAAACAAGGGGGACAGAAGGTGGCATGGCAGTTAAGGGGTTGGACCCTCACGTAGCCCGGATATGAAGGCTTGAAAATTGCACCAGATGCCTGTACATGCATGCCCCAAATCCCAGAGGGGAGTGAAGGGGAAGGGACTGCAGTGTGCCCATACCCCTGGGGGAGGCGATTCCTCAGTTTTCCTCTCACTCTCTCTGGCAAGCACATGAGGCCTATGGCAGAAACCTTAAACTCCCCTCTACCCGCCCAAAGATCAGGGATGTCGGAAGAATAAGAGATAGCAAACGGCAGGGCATACTGTAAGAGGTCAGGAAATGGCTGCATTCATTGTTATTATTTAGACCACATTTGACAGACTCTAGTGAAGATTCTGCTGGCTTGTTAAACTACGTATTCCTGAGAACAAGGCTATATTCTTTCAAAGCACATTTTTAAACAATTTCAGCAGACAAGCACCCAGACCCTCCACCCTACTTACTTATATCAATGCAGTGAAGATCATCATAGAATCTGTCCCCTGACAAGCCTCCGTGGATGAAGAGTTTTGTCCCTGCTGCCACTATCACATGACCATGCCGGGGGGGTGGGGGGTTCCCAAGCGTCTCTGGTTGTGACCAGATCAGAGAGTCTAGAAAAGTAAATTCATTGACATCAAATGGCAAAGCTGGGAAGCAAGAACATAAGAAATACACCTAAGCCTCTCTATCGCCTCCCAGCACGGACATGCTCCACGCAGGAAGCAAATGGGGTCATTCGCTCCAGTTCTCCAGCCCTATCCAGCCTCCCCTCTGCAGCCTGCACAGCCTCTGCCTGGACACTTCTAGCCCACTCCCTAACATGTCGGTCCCTTCTGGCATGAGAAAGCCATCCCTGCTTTGAATTGAAAAGATCTCCCTTTAAACTTCAACCCAGAACTGCCCCAAAGTGAGTGAGTGAGTCTGCTTATCCTGGGACAGGCCTTCAGTGTCTTTTTTCAAGGTAATATCCTTAGTTGATTTAGGGCAGGATCAGGATAAACAGACCACTTTTTTTTTTTTTTTAAAGAGGTTTATGCTATAGGGTATATGCACTCATCAAAAGCACAGAGATAGATAGACAGAAAGCGAGAAATCACCCCCCAGCAGGTATGGCCATGCCGCAATCCCATCTCCTCCATTCTCCTCTTGGGATCTTCGGCACGCATGCACAGGCGCCTGGCGTGAGTTTAAGCCACCGGGTCCAGGACTCAAACCATGGTCGACTTCATGGGAGTCCAGCAACATAACCATTATGCCAACTGCTGGTCCCTGTCCAGACCCGGTGGCTTAAACTCACACTGGGCGCGTGTGCGTGCATGCCCAAGATCCTGAGAGGAGAATAGAGGAGAAGGGATTGTGGCGTGACCATCCCCTCTGGGGGGTGATTTCTCACTTTCTGTCTCTCTGTCTCTCTCTGTTTTTCTGGCAAGTGCATGTGCCATATAGAAAAAAAACTCTTCAAAAAAAAAAATTTAAATAAAAGTTGACAGGGCCTCCTGATGTGGCAGTCTGGGATACTGGTTAGAACGTAGGATTTGGAGTTAAAACCAGGTTATCTCTTGAAATAATTATGTAGCCTTGCTAACTTACTACTCCAAGTTTCAGCTCTTGTAGTTGTAAAATGTAGATAAAGACACTCCCTGACAGCACGTATTTCTTGGGGTGAGATGTGGAGTACACGAGATAACATGTATAAAGTGTGGGCACAGAGACATAGCACATGGGACTAAGGAATATGCTTATTATCTGTTAACAGTGCAGTTGTGTTCTACTGTACCAATCCTTCATATTTTCAAAGCTGTGCCTATACAGAATTCTGACAGAGTAATTATTATTATTATTTTTGAGAGGTTTTCGCTACAGGGTGCATGTGCTCGCCAGACAGACAGAGACAGACAGAGAGAAAGCGAGAAATCACCCCCCAGGGGGGATGGCCACGCCGCAATCCCTTCTCCTCCATTCTCCTCTCGGGATCTTGGACACGCACGCACACGCGCCCGGCGCGAGTTTTAAGCCACCGGGTCCAGGAAGCAAACCGCAGTCAACTACATGGGAGTCCAGCAACATAGCCATTATGCCAACTCCTGGTCCTGAGTAATTATTATTTTTAATTAATTAATTTTTTTGCATATCCACTAGACAGAGAGAAACAGAAAAACAGAGGAAAGATCACCTCCCATGGGGAACGGTCACAAGGTAACCCCTTCTTTTCTACTTCTTTTAAGGATTTTTATTTGTTTTTTAGAATTACTTTATTTAACTTTTAAATTTATTATTATTTTTTAATATTTCCAGAGAGAGACACAGAGAGAGAGAGAAAGTGAGAAAGCAAACCTCTACGTCTGAGAGAAAAAAAGGAAAAAAGAAAGCCTCTACGTCTGGAACTCGAACCACAGTTGACCATGTGGGAGTCCGGTGCCCTTAACCACATCACCTGCCGGCCCCTCTTTTGGGTGTTTGCACATGCAAGCACATGTGCTCAGTGTAGTTCTCAAGCAACCGGGTCTAGGACTTGAACCACATAGTTGGTCTTGTGGGATCCAGCTGCCGTAGCCACCAGGCCATGGATGGGTCCCTCCATGAACTTTTGGTTAAGTTTATTCATTTATTTCAAGAAAGGAAAACAAAACAAAACAAAAAAACGGAGAATGAGACAGAGAGAAAGTGAGAGAGACAATAGAGATAAGCACGCACAATAGCAACTCCCTGTCACAATCCACACCCCTCTTCCCGTTCTCAGCCGGCCCAAACCATGCAGGCCTGGCAGTCACTGGCAGGAGCCAGGACACAGACAATGTGGGTGCAGTTCTGTTACCTGCCCTGCCGCCTGTACCGCCATCAACTTTTTGAAGATCCCTTGTACAAAGATTAATGTAAAAAAATGTAAAAAAGAATATAAAAATTCACTATAACACTATCAGCAAAAAGTAAATCTGAAGAAAAATGACCAGATTGGGGCCAGAAGGTAGCATAGTGGTTAAGGTGCTGGACTCCCACATGGCCGACCAGGGTTTGAGTCCCAGACGTGGTGTCTTGAGACTCATGTTAGATGTGCGTGCCTAAAATCTGAGGAGAATAGAGGAGAAGGGATTGCGGCATTGGCATCCCTGCTGGGGTTATTTCTCACTTCTTTTCTCACTGTCTCTCTCTGGCGAACACATGTGCCCTATGGCTAAAACCTTTAAAAAAGGAAAAAGAATAAAAAAGACCAGATGAATAAGGATACCCACAAAAGGATATGCTTTGCATAGAAATTGGTACTGACTTAGAAAGACATCCAAGATGTGTGATTAAATGAAGAATTAATAATAATAGTTAATATTTCTTAGTGCTTTCTAATTTGTCAGGCACTTTGCTATATACTATATTACATTATCTCATTTAATCTTTACAACTCTTTTGGTGAGCACTATCATTACTTAGTAAAACAGCAAACTAACCCCTCTGGAGACTAAGCGGCTAGGCTAACATATAACACAGAAAGTATGTGTCAGATGTGGTCCTAAATGTAGGACATGTGACTTCAGACAATATTTATCATTGATTCCATATACCTGTATTTAAGTTTTTATAGAACTTCAAAATTCATAGAAAATTCATGTATGTGTTGGGTCATGGGGTCATTTTTCTATGCAAAAATGCATCATGGGACCAGCAGATGGCGTAATCACTATGTTGCTGGACTCCCATGCAGTGGACTGCGGTTTGAGTCCCAGACCTGGTCGCTTCAACTCACACCAGGCACATGTGCGTGCATGCCCAAGATCCAAGAGGAGAATGGAGGAGAAGGGACTGCGGCAATGGCCATCCCCCTCCCCGGTGAGTTCTCACTTTTTGTCTCTCTGTCTCTCTCTATCTCTTTGGTGACTGCAGGAGCCCTATAGCAACAAAACAGGGGCTGGCAGTTGGCATGGTGGTTAAGGGCATGGACTCCCACATGGTCGACCATGGTTCGAGTCCCAGACCTGGTGGCTTGCTTTTTCATTTTCCCCTTCTCTCTCACACTCTGTCCCTCTTTGGTCAAATTAAAATGAATAAATAAATACATAAAGTTAAATAATTTTTAAAAATGTACTGTTTTAAAAAAATTTCTTTTTAAGGTTTTTTTGCTATAAGGTGTAGGTACTTGGCTGGAGAGTGATGAAGAGAAAGGAAAAGTGTGAAATCATCTCCCCGGGGGTGGGGATGACCACTCCACAATCCCTTCTCCATTCTGCTCTGGGGACGTTGAACATGCATGCAACAGTGTATTTTCATACTGCTAGGTCTGGAACTTGAATTGTGGAGTCAGCTATGTGGGATCTAGCACCTTAACCACCACGCCATATGCTGGTCACATTTTTTTTTTTTTTTTGATTTACTACAGGACACATGTACTCGCCATAAAGAGAGAGAGAAAAAGAGGGAAAGTAACAAAGCATCCTCCAGGAGATGGCCACATTGCAATCCCTTCTCTTCAAATCTTCCTGGGATTTTGGGCATGCACATATGTCTGGTGTGTTTTTCAAATTACCAGGTTTGAGACTCAAACTCCACATTTAGCCATGTGGAATCCAGCTGCCTTAACCACTAAACCATGGACTGGGCCCCTATTTTTTAGATTGGTCCTTTATACCTTTTTTTTTTTTTTCTTTAGAGTTTTTTTGTCACAGGGCATGAGAACTCACCAGAGAGAGACAGAGACAGAGAGAGGGAAAGTGAGAAATCATTCCCCGGGGGGATAGCCATGTTACAATCCTTTCTCCTCCATCCTCCTCCTGGGATCCTAAGCATGCAGGCACATGCACTCAGAGTAATTTTCAAGCCACTGGTTCTGGGACTCAAACTGCAGTTGGCCATGTGGGAGTCCGGTGACATAACCACTACACCATCTACAGGCCCCCTTTTATACACACACACACACACACACACACACACACACTTTTAAAAAAACATTATTTATTTATTTTTCAAATTTCACCAGAGAGAGAGAAAGAGACAGAGAAAGGGAAAGTAAAAAAGCAAGCCACCAGATCAAGGACTCAAACTACGGTTGGCCATGTGGGAGTCTAACACCTTAACCACTTCACTACCTGCCACCCCCCCTTTTATGTTTTTAAATACAAATTTTTGCTTTCAGACAATGATATCAATTAAGAGATATACCAAAGAAGTCTAAAGTGAGACCCTCCATCGGGGTTTCATCTTCTAACCTCCACTTGCTACATCAGGTAAGCTGGAGGCCTCGGTGGCCCTGACCAGGTAAGCGGCAGCCCTGAAGTGCCTGCCAGTCCATACTTGCGTCAAACACATGGAGCTTCACATCCTTCACGGGCTGGGCACCTCTCTCGCCTCCCCCAAAGACATACAGCTGGTTTCCAATAGCTGCCGAAGAAGTGTGGAATGTTCTTGGCGATGGTGGGGTGCTGGCCACTTCTGGCGTGCTCCAAGTCCCGGTTTCTAGTTCAGAGAAAAGGCACGCATATAACTCACCCAGACTAAGAGACCTGTCCTTGACTTGGACTGGACAGGGTCATTTTCCAAACCCCAATCCCCAGGGGGACTTGATAGTTTCAGGTAGGGTCATATACACATAAACAGTGTCATATACAACGTCAAAGAGCTACTGAGGATACTTAAAATTTACTCAGATAGGGACCAGCAGGTGGCATAATGGCTATGTTGCTGGACTCTCATGTAGTCAACTGCAATTTGAATCCTGGACCCGGTGGCTTAAATTCACGCTGGGCGTGTGTGCATGTGTGCCCAAGATCCCGAGAGAAGAATGGAGGAGAAGGGATTGTGGCAACCCCCTGGGGGATGATTTCTCGTTTTCTGTCTATGTCTTTCTGTGTCTTTCTGGTGAGCGCACACGTTTATAGCAAAAACAACCCCAAAAAAAAAAAAAATTTTTACCCAGACAGATACAAATTCCCAGCCTTGAAAATTCTTAAGTCTGGAGCCAGTAAGTGGTGTGGTGGTTAAGGTGCTGGACTCCCACATGGCTTACAACAGTTTCAGTCCTGGACCTGGTGGCTTGAAACTCACACCAGGAATATATGTGCTCAAAATTCTGTGAGTAGAATGGAAGAGTGGGGATTGCAGTATAGGGATCCCCTCGGAAGAGAGTGATTTCTTACTTTCTCTCTCACTGTCTCTCTCTGGCAAGCGCACATGCCCTACAGCAAAAATAAAATCTTAAAAAAAAAAAAAGTTGCACTTTTGGCTAGTAGACACATACTGGAAGCATCTAGGTCAGTTTCTTAATAAAATAGCATTATTTGGGACCAGCAGTTGGCATAATGGCTATGTTGCTGGACTCCATGTAGTCGATCATGATTCTAGCCTCGGACCCGGTAGCTTAAATTCACACTGGGTGCATGTGCGTTCCCAAGATCCCGAGAGGAGAATGGAGGAGAAGCGTGGCCATCCTCCCGGGGGTGGTTTCTCGCTTTCTGTCTCTCTGTCTCTCTGTTTTTCTGGCGAGTGCACGCACCCTATAGCAAAAACCTCTAAAAACAAGCCAAACAACAACAAAAATAGCATTACCGACATTAAGACTAGATAATTCTTCAATTCTTTTTTTTTTTTCTTAAGGTTTTTGCCATAGAGCACATGTGTTCAGCGGAGAGAAAGACAGTGACAGGGAAGGTGAGAAATCACCCCCATGGGGGATGACACCCATGCCACAATCCCTTCTCTTCCATTCTCCTCCTGGGATTTTGGGTACACATGCACATGTGCCCATTGTGACATTCAAGCCACCAAGTTTGGTACTCAAACCACAGTCAGCTATGTGGGAGTCCAACACCATGACCACCATGCCACTTGCTGACTCACTCTTTTTCAGTTTTGCTGTAGGGCATATGCACTTGCGGGAGAAAGACAGAGAGACAAAATGAGATCATCCCCCCCATGGAGGATGATCATGCTACAACCCACAATCCCTTTTCCACTCTCCTCGTGGGATTCTGGGTATGCATGCACACACTCTGGCATGTTTCTCAAGACACTGGGTTCGGAACTCAAACAACTGTCAGTCATGTGAGTGAGATCCAGCTGCCTTAACTACCATGCCACCAGCTGGGCCCTGATTACTCTTTACTGGGAGGCTGTCACGTGCATCTCATGATGTGTATACAGCAGCATATCTGACATCCATGCAGCAGACACTGGGTGCATAGACCACTCTCAGCTGTGATAACCAAAAATGTTTCCAGATATGACCATATGTCCCCTGGGAATCACAGCCACCCATTGGAGAACCACTGATCTAGGTCGCTTGGATTCTAGCTGGCACAGTCACTGACTCCTGGTGACTTTAGGAAAGCTGGGCCAGCAGGTGGCGTGGTGGTTAAAGGCACTGGATTCCCACATGGCCAACCGCAGTTTGAGCCCTAGACCTGGCGGCTTGCTTTCTCTCATTCCCTTTCTCTCTCTTTCTCTGTCTGGTCAAATTAAATAATAATAATAATAATAACAACAAATGGAATTAAATAAATAAATAATTCTTTTTAAAAAATTTTATAAAGGGAAAACCACTTCCCCTTCAATCGGCCAGAGCTGTCCACGTGCACAGCTTCTTCTCTGATGTCCCTTCCAGCTTTGACATTTAAGGAGTTGGTAATCATCCATGTTACCAGGAAAAAAATATATAATTCATAGGGCCAGCAGGTGGTGTGGTGGTTGGAGGCGCTGGATTCCCACATGGCTGACCATGGTTCGAGTCCCGGACATGACAACTTGCTTTCTCTCTT